CTCCTCCTCCTCCTCCTCCTCCTCCTCCTGCTCATCCTCCTGCTCCTCCTCCTCCTCCTCCTCCTCCTCCGCCTCCTCCTCTTCCTCTTTTTCTTCCTCTTCCTCTTCCTCTTCCTCCTCCCCCCTCTCCAGAGGGAAACCATGACAGACCAGGAGGGAGGAGACGATCTGTCTTTGGTCATGGCTCTTCCTCCAGGAGAGCTCCCTCCTTGTTGGTCTGGCGTCGGTTCCCTGCCACCGAACATGGACACCGCCTTTTCCTAACACGGACACCACCAGTTACCCTGAGGGGCATCGATAGGAGGGGGGACCAGCTCTGGGGGCGGAAACACCGAGCAGGAATCGGGGATACAGCGCCGACGGATCGACGGTAGGCCCCCGATAGCGAATCCGCACGATATTTGCCGGGGTCGGCTATCGGGGGTCAATGTATCGCCACCTAAGCCTACCCACCCCTAACGCTTACGCTTACACATTGGCCTTCGGCGGTCTTCGGCAGTCTCCACCCATCGGCCCTCAGCCGCCTTCCACGGTCTCTGGCTTTCTCTGGCGCTCGTCCGACGGTCTCCGGCGATTCTCTGACGGATTCCAAAGGGTCCACGGCGGCTCCCTGCAGTCTTCGCCAGCCCTCCCCACGCAAGCTGGATGGCTGCGTTCAACGAGGGGCCCATGATCGAACACCTGGCCACTGAAGAGAGGCTGGAAGAGGATCAAGGCTCCTGCATTGTGGGTCAAGGCTCCAAGATGTGCTTGGGTACCTCTGCAAAGAAGGCTGAGGAGAAGGAGAATGACAGTGATGGTGCCTGCCCACGAAGTGAAAAGAGGAGAAGGCGGAAGTGGAGGAGGAGGTAGAGGAGGAGGAGGAGGAGGAGGAGGAGGAGGAGGAGGAGGAAGCGGAGGAAGAGGAGGAGGAGGAGGGAAAGTAGGAAAGGGGGAGGAGCAGGCGAGAGGGAAAACGGGCGAGGAGAAGAAGGAGGACGACCCTCATGTCAGTTCCCCCTCACTGACTGATGACCTCGACGCCCCCACCCCACCCGAAGGCCACCCGAAGGGTGTGGCTCCTGGCGGTGGCAGGACGCCCAAATAGTGCGATTCCTGGCGCGGTGAATCCGAAAAACTGCGACGTTCGTGCACGCAGACACACACACACACACACACACACACACACACACACACACAAAGACGAGCACGTCAGCCCAACATGTGGGCCGACGGGCGGCCTTCGGACGGTGAGGGGGTGCTGAAGCCACCCGTGAATCCCTCAACCCCTCCTGTTCTGCTGTGGGGGCGCGAGCTCGAGGTGTCAGCCGCGTTTGCGCGCGAGGCTTGCTGCGGCGACGGATCCACGACGCCAAATGGGTGGCAGGCCCCACGGCCTCAGGACAAGAGCGTTCCAAGATGGGCCACGTTGGTCCCAAGACGGCCCAAGAAGCGCCCAAGACGCTCCAGGAGGTTCCAGGAGGACTTCGAGAGGCCCCGAAGATGCAAAGATAACTGATTTTGCGTGGGTTTTCAAACGATTTTGGCGGTACCGCCTTTTCGAGCTGCCGACCGCCCTGGACGGCCCAATAGGCCCCAAGATGGCTCCAAGACGGCCCGAAAAGCCTCCAAGAGGGCCCTCAAATGGCCCAATATGGCCCCAAGACGGCCCAAGAAGCCTCCAAGACGGCCCCAGGATGGCCCCAAGAGCCCAAGGGGCGCCCAGGAAGCCCCCAGAGGCCGCCACGAGCCCCCCCCAAGAGGCCCCCAGAGGCCCCCAAGAGGCCCCAAAAGAGGCCCCCAAGACCCCCAACAGGACCCCAGAACGTCCCCAAGAAGCCCCCAACAGGATCTCCAGAAGAATCAAAACTGCTCCCCAGAGGCTCCCGAGAGCCCACCGAAGAGACCCCACGAAGCATCCATGAAGAAGCTGACGAACAACCCAGGTACGTCTCGAAACTCTGCTGTAGCTCTCTCGAGCCATCTTGGCGCCCTCTGGGGCAGTCTATCGGCTCTTTTCCACAGGGTGGAAGCCACGCCTCCAAAGGTCTCCTCGAGGACATTCCTGCCTGCCCTACCGTTCCCCCTGGGCACGAGCACACCACCACGCAGCCACAGTGATGCGAAACGAGCCGGCGGAATTAGCATAGCGATCAAATGAGATTTCTCGGCGCGCACGTCGCCCCAGGAGGGGAGGGGGCGACGCAAACAGTACTCGTATGTTGGGAGACGCCGATCCTCCTCCGCCCCTCCCACCCTCCCCCCTTGCCCCCCCCCCCCTCCCTCCCTCCCTCCCTCCTGGGGGGGGGAGGGGGGGGCGCGCGCGGCGAGGCGCGCGGCAGCCCTCCTGGAGCTCGGGCGAGATGCAGAGCGCCTGCGGCTCCTGCACGTCGTGGATCCTGTTTGGGGGGGGGGGGGGGGTCGCAGTCCAAGGCGCCAGGGAGCGGGCAGCGCGAGCCAGGAGGTTGTTGTTGACTTCCAGGGCAACTCCTCTGACTGCCCAGCACCTGCAGTGAAGAACCTACAGGAGCTGAGCTCAAGACTCACGTTCTCGCAACTCCCAGCGCCAGAGCTACGACGACACACCCAGGCGGGAGGCGGAGAGGAGGACGGGTGGAGGACGCCGGAGGACTTCTGGGAAAGTCAAGCCTTTGGGGCAAGGGTGCTGCGGATGGAGAGCTCGGGCGAAGATCAGGCGTTGCAAGCGTCCTGCCCTCCATCTGCATCGCCGTTTGAAACTCGAGCGAAGAACGGCAACGACAAAAATTACTTGAGCGGGAGGGTGTGCGTTTGCCTCCGAACCGAAGTCCTGCCCCCCCAGAGCGAATGGACCCTGTCTCGCCTTTGAAAGTCGGCCAGGTTCCTTTGGATGTCAAAACAATTTTCTGGACCAGAACTCCAGCCCTTGGTCCAGCCGCTGCGACGATATGTCCTCAGGGCCAGGCCGTAAGCAGCGATGACGACGATGACGAGGAGCCAGCACGGCACACGCGTCGAAGCTTTCCCCTGCCGCTAGGACCGCACAGCAAGCGTGCTGAACCTCTCGTGAACCTCTCCTCGGTCCTCGCAGCGTCACAATGCCGCACGGGGAAAGAAGGGTGAGCGGAGAGGGAAAGGATCCCAAACCCAGCCCCCTGAAACCACCCGCGGGAAGAGGGGGAGCGGGATCACTGCTTTCCAAAATAGAGCATGTGCCATGCAGGACGGAGGGTAAAACGCAGGGGGAGGGGGCGGGGGAGGGGAAGGAGGAGGGGAACGGGAGGGGAAGGGGGAACCTGGGGGGGGGAGAAGAAGCGAGAAGGGAGGAGGGCGAAAGGAGGAGGGGGAGGAACAAGATAAGACAAGACGAGACAAAACAAGACAAGACAAAAAAAGGAGCCAACATGGCAGCCGCTCGCTCCATTACAAATTGAGCTCTGCGCCGAAACAAATCTAACGTAAGAGGAGCTTCCCTGAGTGTTGGACGACAAGTCATTTTCTACGTCCTTGCTTCGCGCAACACACCTCGACAACCGCAGTGGAACGTTTCTAATCATCCAGGCTTCATGGTCCTGCATGCGCGCGTGCATAATGCATCTGACAAGCTTGCGACAAGCAGCTCTCAACTGGGAACGCATGTACGCAACGATCACCCACCATTCGCTTCCATGCGAGACAGTCGACGAAGCAACGGTTTTCCAAAAATGTCAGATGAGACCCAAATGGTAACATCCAGCAGCGCTACCCGATCGAAATTCCGCGAACGCACGCCATGCTGCTCACACTCTTTAAGTCGACCCGGTACCGTAAGAATCAGAATAATGGGACGAATGGGAAAACAAGGAAGAAATCAGTCTGATCGGACCAGCAAAAGGGCATGTCTGCAGACAAGCCAAGTCGTTTGATGCAAAGCTGCCTGCGCGACGAAAACCGCCCAAGAAGAGGCCTCGAACGACCTG